TCAGAGTATATTGAAGTTAAATGTTTTACCTCAGATTTTTATGTGAGCATCAGTTTTTTGGAGTACAGCTGTGGTTTGGATATTGATTGGCCCAAAGTAGAGGTTTTTGTCCTCAAGGTCTGTTATTACATGTGTGTGACGAGGGGAATTAAACCACTTAGGATGTGTTTTTTAAAAAGATTATGTATGTATGTGTGTATGCTTGTATTTCTCTACTTGAAAAGCTAAGTGGCAAATCTTCCATCTTCTGGTTTACTCTCCAAATGGCTGCAACAGCTGGAACTGGGTCAGGCTGAATCCAGGTGCCAGGAACTCCACCCAGGCCTCTCACATGGATAGCAGGGACCCAAGCACTTGGACCACCTTCTGCTGCTTTCCAAGGTGCATCAGCTGGAAACTGGATGGAAAGCGGAGAGGCTGGGACTTGAACCAGTGCTCCTGTAAGGGATTGCAGTTGGCTGCTTAACCTGTTGAGCCACAACACTGGCTTCCACTGTTTTCAGGTGGGGTCTTAGGGAGGTGATTGGATAGATTTGGGTCACTAGGTCACAGGTGAATCCTGATGCCTTTAGAAGGAAATCTAGACAGATAAGCACAGTCCCCTTTGCTCCTCAGCACTCTGCCAGCAAGAACGCAGTCACCAAAGGCCAAACCAATGGGGCCCAGCGAATCTGGGACTGTGAGCTGCCAAAGCTAAACTGAAATATACACCCTTTCTTTACTAAGTTAGTTGTCTCTCACATTTTGTCATATTGATGCAGACCTAATTCACGACTTACTTAGAAATGGGAAAATGGTATGAAAATAATTGTTTTGACGCCGGCGCCGCGGCTCACTAGGCTAATCCTCCGCCTAGCGGCACCGGCACACCAGGTTCTAGTCCCGGTCGGGGCACCGGATTCTGTCCCGGTTGCCCCTCTTCCAGGCCAGCTCTCTGCTGTGGCCAGGGAGTGCAGTGGAGGATGGCCCAGGTGCTTGGACCCTGCACCCCATGGGAGACCAGGAAAAGCACCTGGCTCCTGGCTCCTGCCATCGGATCAGCGTGGTGCGCCGGCCGCAGCGCACCGGCCGTGGCGGCCATTGGAGGGTGAACCAACGGCAAAGGAAGACCTTTCTCTGTCTCTCTCTCTCTCACTGTCCACTCTGCCTGTCAAAAAATAAAAAAAAAATTTAAAAAAATTGTTTTGAAAGGAAAGGTTGGTGCAGTGGTTAAGATGCCACTTGGGACACTCACATCCCATATCAGAATGTGTGGGTTCAAGTCCAGACTCCACGTTTTTTAAGATTTATTTTATTTGTATGAAAGAGAGAAAGGGAGCGATACAGAGAGTTTATAAAGAGAACTTCCGGGCCGGCGCTGTGGCACAGCAGGTTAACGCTCTGGCCCGAAGTGCCGGCATCCCATATGGGTGCTGATTCCAGTCCTGGCTGCTCCACTTCCAATCCAGCTCTCTGCTATGGCCTGGGATAGCAGTGGAAGATGGCCCAAGTCCTTGGGCCCCTGCACCCACGTGGGAGACCTGGAAGCAGCTCCTGGCTCCTGGCTTCAGTTCAGTGCAGCTCTGGCTATTGAGGCCAATTAGGGAGTGAACCATCAGATGGAAGACCTCTCTCTCTCTCTCTGCCTCTCCTCTCTCTGTGTAACTCTGAATTTCAAATAAATAATTTTAAAAAAAAGAAAAGAAAGAGATCTTCCATCCCCCATATGGCCACACTGCCTGGAGCTGGGTGAGGCAAAAGCCAGGAGCCTGGAACTCCATCAGGGTCACCCAAGGGGTGGCAGAGGCCCCAGCCCTGAGACCCTCATGCCCCTTCCCAGGAGCATTAGCAGGGAGCTGGAGCCAAAGCAGCGCAACTGAGCTTGGAGATGGCACTTGGAGGATGGGGGATGCCAACTTCACAGGCAGAGGCTTAACAGACCACGAAAACACCAGAGTTGCATGTCTAATGTATGTCCTGAGAGGCAGCGAGTGAAGCCTCCAGGGGTCAGGTCCCTGCCACCACGCCAGAGAGCTGGGCATTTTGGAAGTGAACCAGCAGATGCAACAAGATCGTTTATCTGTCTGTTTCTCTGTCTCTCTACCTTTCAAATACAATGAAAAATGAACAAATGAAAGAGGGAGGAAGGAAAAGAACTGTGGACTTTGGTGAAGGTACAAAGTAGTACAATAGAAAGCTGCAATCAGACTGGCAGTCCGAGATGAGTTCAGGCTTGATCTCTGCTACTTGGTAGCACTTTACTTTTGGCTAATTTTGTACTCTTAAAACGTTTCTCCCAGTTGGATTTGAAAGTGTTATTCTCTGAGAACATGCATGGGGAACTTTTTTGGTAGGCCAGTTCAAGTCATGATTCTTCTAAAGGTACAGTACTGCATTGACTATTTAACTGTGGCTCACCTTAATTAGGAGGAAGCTTCAAGAGGATTTTTTTTTTTTTGAGGAGGGGGACGTATTATCGGCCAAATCCGGATTCCCTCTGCCAGGGCTCCAACCCTGAAGCAAGACCTCTGTAGGAGAGGGTCAAGCTGTTACCTTGTCACTCTCAGATCCTGGTATCTATGTGAAGCTGAGGGTGAGCTCTGTGGGAGGTTGCTATGACAATTGCCAACAGGAGAGGCGAGGCACTCCGCAGGAGGTGGCTCCCTCCCCCTGGGCTTTGCCTGCTAGGTCCAGCCAGGGCCGGAGATGGGGCGGGGCAGAGCAGAAAGCACCCATGTCCCCGGCAGAACCTCAGACACCTGGCATCTCTCAGGAAGGAAGTTCAGGGCGACTTTCTGCCCTCATCCGGGATTTGTCCGGTTCTGCCCCAACCTCCTCCCAGACCGGTGAAGTGGCAAAACTTGTGACCTTTGGACAAAGGCGCACAGCGCGCCACCCAGGACGGGGGCACGGGTCTGCGGCGGGCGAGCACGTTTTCAGTCCACCAGGGAAAGGGAGGCCGCAGACGGCACAATGCAAGGGCAGACACATTCTGCACGTGCCTTGGAAGCCGGCGGGAGAGCTTGGGCTGCGAGGATGCGAGCAGAGAGGCAAGGCGCTGAAAGGAAGGTGTGTCTCTCCCAGCGGCCGCAGAGGGAAGGCTGGAGTTGCGAGGAAATGGGAGGCGTCTCTGGTGTTGATTTTTGCCTAGCAACCCACAGCCAACTGCTTCCCCGGCTGCCGTCCACGCGCGCCTCTCTGCCTCCCCCTTGTCCTAGCGACTGGAGAGCGGTCACTCGGTGTCAGTAAAGCGGGGAGGGAGAGTGTGGTGGAGGTGGAGGTGGCGGCGGGAGGGCAGCCCCCTTTGCCCGAGCTGGGGGTTCCCGGGCTCAGGGCGGCCCCGCCGCGGGGCTCGGCCATCCGCGGTGACCCGCGCACAACTAAGTTGTCCACGTGATGAACCGGGGGACGCGGGTCGTTAAGTCCCCGGGCGCGCTGCGGGGGAGACAGTATTGTTCGCGAGCAGCCATTAGGTCCGCCAAGCAGAAAATGCGGCCGTGTTTGGGGGCGCGCGGGGAAGGGGAGGGGTCTCTGCAGCGAGGTCGGTGGGTGGGGGAGGATGCGGGGGTAGGCTGCGCTCAGGGCAAAGGCGGGGCCCGGCAAGGGCTAGGGCAGCCGGGGAGGGGGCCAGGCGTCGGTGCGGGAGCGAGGGGCAAGGGGCGGATGGCGGG